TGATTGGCCTCTTCTGTTAGGCAGATCATCTTGATGTTCAATGATAGGCTGAGAGCCGGATTCCACTTGGGGAATGATTATTGATCTTTTTATGATTTTTCCTTTTGAAGGAGTGCCTCTTATGTAGGCGACTGAGGAATTGGGGTTCAGTGTTCGGCTGAGTGCCGGATTCCGCTTGGGGAATATTTATTGATATTTTTTGTTTTTTCTCCTTTCATTTATTATATTTTTATTAACATAGATATAATAAAAAAAATACAATAAAAAGCATGAAGTTGGCGTTCTGGAACGGGTCGTTTTGAATTCAGAACGGCCCATTCTAACAGCAGAACGGCCTGTTCTGATTTCAGAACGGCCCGTTCTGCTGCACTCATGTTGTGTTAAATTTGCATTTGGAACGGCCCGTTCCAGTTGCAAAATTAACACATAAATGTGCATGTAGAACGAGCCATTTTAGTTTCAGAACAGGTCGTTCTAGTTCCAGGTGTATTCATGCCATTTGGCATCCACCTATGCATCTACGTGGCATCCACCTGACATCCACGTCAACAGGAGTTAACCCCATTTAAATCATTTGGACGGAAGTCCCAAATTGCAATGATTTAAATTATTAGGGACCAAATTGAGACCTAAAATTAAAGTGGGACTAAATTGAAACAAAAAAATATTATCAGGGACCAAAAGAGGTTTTTAACCTTTTTTTTTTATAGAAAAAGTTAGTTAACTACACTTGGATACATTTTAAAATATATTATAATTATAATTTGCTAATCTACTTCTTCTAAAAAGAAGTGAGTGTATGTTAATTTAAGTCAAATTCAACCCAACCCGACCAAAACCTGACACTATATTGGTTGGGTGACGGGTTTTGTGTTTTCAACCCGTCACTTGTCCCAACCCGTCATATATAATAATAATAATAATAATAATAATAATAATAATATAATAATAATAATAATAATATAATAATAATAATAATAATAATAACTATTGTTATTATTATTATGTTTGAATGATCATTTATTCAGGACAATACTCACTATTACTCTTGTATAGTAACGAATTTTGTGTTTTAGGTTAGTAGAATTGTAACAATATAATATTTTTATTTTGTGTTAATTAATGTTGATATTTTCCCCTAAAAAAAATAATGTTGATATTTTTAGTTGATAATAATGTAGTAAATTAATAAATTTATTTTGAAATTAAATTTGTATGATTGTTTGCTTTATAAGTTGATAACATTATATTTGCAACAATGTAACAAATGATTTACCTATATTTTAAAATATTTAATTGGGATCGGGGTAAAACGAAAAAAATAAATAAATTTGTTGATAGAATAGTAATATCTTTTTTTCATAATTAAAATGTTATATATATATAATAATAATAATAATAATAATAATAATTATTATTATTATATATAGAGAGAGGGTATATTACGGGAATATTTTTTATAAGAATGAAAATATTTAAAATTAACTCTTAAATTAAAACAAATAATTTAAATTAAAATTATTAAGTATCGCATTATCAAAATAATTTTTATCATTCTCATTTTCACTATTGTCATTGGAATTATTGTCACTACCACCTTGACTACTATCACCATTACTTTTATTATCACCATTGCTTATGATAATGGTGGTGACAACAACAATGTTAGTAATGATTGTGTGATGACAATAATAATGATAGTAATGGTTGTGTAGATGATGGTATTGTTGAAAATGCTAGTGTGACAATAATGATAATAATGACAACTATAATTATAGTAGTAACAATGACAGTGATAGAGGTCATTATCCTTGGTGGTGTTACATAATAACTTTATTTATAATATTTTATGAGAAAGATATTCACTTATTTTAAGGAATTTTTTGCTAAAATAATTTTTTTTTAAAAAAAATTTACCAAAAAAGTACCTGTACCATTTTATTTACCCAAGTAGCACCTTTCACTGTTCACGTTCAGAATTCGGTTCCCGGGAAACCGAATTCTGAGCTGTTAAAAATTTTTTTATTATTTTTTTTTGCATTTTTGGATTTGAGCATGGTGTAAAACTGGATCGGGAACGGCCCGTTCTGAAAGAATAACGGCCCGTTCTCCTTGCAGAACGACCCGTTCTCCTTTTAGAACGGGTCATTCCGGATGCAAAAATGCACACATGACGAATGGATCAAAACGGACCGTTCTGCTTGGACGTTCCAGTTTCAAAAATAACATACTACGCGTGCAAGCAGAATGGCCCGTTCTTCTTGGAGAACGGGCCGTTCCAGTTGCAACATTAACACACAACTCGAATTACAAACAGAAAAGAAAAAAAAATTAAACACTACTCAGAATTCGGCTGAGCAAAAAAATAATAATTTAACAGCTCAGAATTCGGTTTTCCGGGAATCGAATTCTGAGTGTGAACAGTAAAAGGTGCTACTTCTATAAATAAATTGGAACAGGTGCTGTTTTGGTAAATTTTTTTTAAAAAAATTTATTTCAATAAAAAATTCTATTTTAAGACTAACTCTTGATAGAGTTACTTCATTCAGTAATTGATGGACTACATGAAATTTTAACAATACAACTATTAAATCAAAAGTTCTTAATAATTATATTAAGTTTACAAATTTTCATAAAATTTGTAAATTACTTGATAATTCATTACATTAATTCAAATTAACATTATTCATAAGTATATTA